GCCGTGGCTCCCTCTCGCCCCGACCACCTGGCCGTCCTGCCTGACCCAAGGGGGACGGGAGCGGCCCTGGCCTCCCACGACGCCCTTCCCGAGGGAGAGGCCAGAGCTCAGCCGCTCCCGAGGCGACCGTGCGGCCTGGCTCACGACCCAGCGGCCTCCCTGGGCCCCAGTTTCCCCGTCTGTAACACGCTGATCATGGGCGCGGCGGCTCGAGCCTGTCAATCCCAGCGCTTTGGGGGCCGAGGCGTGAGGACGGCCTGAGCTCGGGGGTTCGAGCCCGGCACGGGCAACTTGGCAAGGCCTCGTCTCTACAATAAAATCAAAAACTCAGCCGGACGTGGTGGCGCGCGCCTGTCGTTCCAGCTACTCGGAAGGCTGAGGCGGAAGGATCGCCGGAGCCCAGCGGGTCGAGGCGGCGGGGGCCGGGGGCGGCCACTGCACTTGGGTCTGGGTGACAGAGTGAGACTCCAACTCAAAAAAAAGAAAAAAAAAAAAATTAACATAATGAATTTTTAAACTGCCTTGTTAACTTTAAAAAATTTTTGTTTAAACAAATGCCTTAAACATTATTGTTAGCTTTGGGGGGGGGGTGGAAAGGGCAGTGTCTTGTTTAAGAAATCCCTGTCCCAAGGTTGTTTTTTCTTTCTTTTTTTCCTATTAATAGTATTAACATTTTGGTTTTGACATTTAATTCTTAATCCCAATAGTGTTGACTTTTCTAAATGATAAAAGGGTATGGATGCAATATCTTCCTTTTCTATATGAATCCGGATCCATTTTCCCAGCTCCATTTATTAAATAGTCCCATTTTTCCTCAATTGGATCTGACATATCACCTCTCTCCTAAACAAAACTTCTATATGGACATATGTCTGCTATGTTTCCTATTATGTTCTATTTAGTTGGTCAGTTTGTCTGTTGTGGCACTGGTACCATGTGTCTTAATTATTGTAGTTTCATAATAAGTCATGATATCTCATAAGGCAAGTCTTCCATTCTCTATTTTTTTCCAGGAGTGTCCTGATCATTCTTGAAAATTTCCACTTCCACATACATTTAAAAAATCAGATTATCAAGTGACAGGAAAAACTTTTAGGAGGTTAGCATAATATCATCAATGTTATGAAACTGTTTAGCCTAGCACAGTGGCTCATGCCTGTAATCCCAGCACTTTGGGAGGTGAAGGCGAGATGATTGCCTGAGGGGTTAGAGACCAGCCTGGGCAACTTGGCGAGACCACATCTCTACAACTGTAAAAAAAATTAGCTGGTCATGGTAGCACGGGCCTGTAGTTCCGGCTACTTGGAAGGCTGACGCAGAAAGCACCTGAAACCCGGACTGACGCTGGGGTAGCCGTGAGCGTGCCACTGCACTCCAGCCTGGGCGACAGAGTGAGACTCCAACTCAAAAAAAAAAGTTAGCTGGTCGTGGTGACACATGCCTGTGGTTCCAGCTATTTGAAAGGCTGAGGTGAAGGATTGCCTGAGTCTGGCAGGCAGAGGCTGCCATGGTAGTGAGTATGCCACTGTACTCTAGCCTGGGTGACAGAGTGAGACTCCAACTCAAAAATTTAAAAAAGAAACTGTTTAACAGAATACGGAGGTAGACATAAGATTAAATCTCTAGCAGCAATTCCATGACAGATAGTGGGACCACATACATAACCCCAGGACAATACTTGGGATGTTCATTGCAGGCTGTTCCAGGTGAAAGCAAAGTCATCCTTGTGAGTTGGGATGCAAAGGGATGCTACAGAGGGCGCTAGCCACATCGAATAGAGCGTG